CAATTTGATAAAACTTTTAAAGAATTACAACTTTAATTATTACAACTTTTGTGATTTACTTGTAAAAATTTATACTTATATTAGAAATAAAAATTATTTTTAGCCTTGTTTATATATAAAATTTGAAAAAATTTAACCAAAAATTTTAAAGGTCCAGTGATCTTAGTGTAGTGATTAGGTTGTCGGACTGCTATGTAAAAGGTCTGGGGTTCAAACCCTACTACTGACGAATTTGAATAATTACTCAAACCTTTGTATTCAACTTACGGTAAACTCTTTCTGTTTCTAGGTTGTAACCCTGTAAATCGTATTGTACTAATATCAATCGGGTATTGAAAGTGTTACAGAAAAGTCAGATCTAATGTAACGTTACATGAATAAATCTTGATAGGATTTATAGACAGAGACCTGTATAGTAGAAATCCCGAGTTAGATGATATAGTACAGATTTCAACAGTCACGCCAGCTTGATACTTGATCTGGAGAAAGTCTAGGAATGAAGAATTCAAACTGAGTAGATGTGAGTAAGTCCATAATGTAATAGAAAAGTTAAGTGTGATGTAACATTATATGAATGGTAACACCAACTTGGCTTAGCAGCTAACTGAATTTGGAAGGATCTATCTCATGAAACATTTGGAAGAACTAGACCAATTTGGTGAAGAGCTACAGAAGGAACTGGGTTTGTACGAACACTAATAAAGGTATATACTAGCTTAATTAGGATATAGCATAGCATAGTTGGGGTCATCCGCAAGCCCTCACCGGAATAGAATGCAGGTGGGTACCTTGTGATAGAGCCCAGTTCTATGAAGTCAATTTGAGGTGCAAGTTGGTCTGAATGGTTCTCAGATGAGGTAGCACAAGATTAGCATAGATAAATAAATATTAGGTTAAAAATAGAGTAATATTTAGAAGAAATAGAGGATCTGGTTTATTATCTATTGATAGATCTTTATCTAGTTGTATATCTATTGTAATATCAACTAATATAGTTCTTAGCATAAGAAGTAGGTAACCAAAATATTGTTTGTCAAAATAAGCAAAGTTATGTAGTAGAGTCTGGTTGCATTTGGTTATTAAATTTCTAAGTATGTTGTTGCTTATAAGTAAAAAAATATATGTTTGTAGTACTAAAGTAGATATTATAAAAATCAATAATATTAGTTATGTGTTTGTATATGATGGCCATGAAGTATTATAGCATCCTAATGTTGTTTTTGATTTGGGAAGGTAGTATTTAGCTATGATAGTATTATTCTCTATATTTTTCTCTGTTATATATATAAGATAAATTTCTATAACTTTCTCTAATAAATTTATCTTCATTAGAGAATTTCATAATGAAGTTAGTAGATAGTTAAAAGTATTGAGAGGATATAAAAATATCTCGAATTTGGGTATGTAGATTTTTTGCTTCGTTATATCATTTGTTTTTAGAGTCTTTAATATATTACTTAATCTTGCGTAAATTCTGTATTTACAATCTACTTGTATATTGTGAAGTATGTTTGCTATTATTGTGAAATAGTATTTCTTGTTTTGAGAATTTGTACTTTTTAAGTAACATTCAAGACATGTTCTCAATGTATTCTGTAGGGTTAATATGTAGTATTTAACTCGTAATTTTATGTTAGATATATTGAAGATTTTTCTAATATTACTATTTTTTGTGATAATCTAGCCCTTTTTAGTTGGAGTCTATGAGGCAATTGTGAAAAGGTTTGAGTAAGTCATTTGTGTAGATGGATTTGTAGTTAAAGCTATAATTTCTTATATTGTAGATAACCATTTAGGTATTCTGCTATATAGGATTTTCTTGATATTGTTATATACTTCAGTTTAACTTAGTTGTTCAGTATTTTTGTAGTTAAGGAGTTGTTCTATATAGTTTATTTTTAAGTTATTAAGCTTTTTTTTAAGGAAGAGACCATTTTTCTGTTCTACTAGAATTGAGTTAATTAAAGTACCTTTTAGTTTTTGTAGAACTAGCTAGTTGTTATAGTATCAAGATATTGTGAGATTTGAGAGATAGATAGCTATGACTGCTTATGCTATGTATATATTATTTTGATAATATGGAAATACTAGTAGTAGGCTTAGGATTAAGATATCTGTTTGTGCTGAGTTCTGTAAGTATTGTAGACATATTTTAAAGAATAAGGAGTCAAAATTATTGTTGTTTAAGTTTTTTAATAGAGTAGTTGCAAGTATTGAAGTTTGAACCTGTATTAAATTTTTTAATACATATATGTCTGGATTAAAGAGAAAAGAGTTAGGAACACTATGAGCTAGTCTTGCTTTGTATTTGACAATATTAGTGTAGATTCTTGTAATATTGTTTAATTAATTTGTTGAGAATGATAAAGAGTATAGCCTGTACTAAAGTCATGAAAGTAATACATTATTTATAATATATATAGCTTGTTTTTCTGTTATTTAAGCTATTTGTAATTTTTTTAAGTTAAGTATCATTTCATCAGAAATTTTTTTTTAAACTATATTAGGTTGTGTATTAAGAGAAAACTATGCCTCAAGATACTTGAATAGTGTTTTTTGCTCTATTACTGTTATTGTATCATTAGCAAAGCTAATAGATCTGTCAGATATCTCTGAATTAGTAATCAGAATTAATTTAGTTGAATTGACATGAATATTGTTAAGTTTGTAAAATAAGTTAGCAACTTTTAGGATATCTGATAGTGATTCTTTATTAGAAGCGATTTAGAGTAAATCATCCATATATGCTATTATAGAACTATGAATAATCTTGTGTAGCTGCTGTGTTTTTAGATATTCTTGAAAGCCTATAAATTCTTTATATATTCGAGAGATTAAAGGGTCATAGTAAATCTTCTAGAGCAAAAGAGAGAAAGTCTCTTTTTGGTCTATTCCATCCTCAATGTAGTAATATTTTGTAAGGTCTAGTGAGGTTATAACTCTATTACGTCTATTAGATAGAAGTGATGTTAAAAGTTATATGAAATTTTCTAGTATATGAATTTTTTCTAATGCTTTATATAGTGTTAATAGATGTATAGAATTGAAGGCTTTCAATATGTCTTGTAGAAGTATCTAAATTTCTTTTCTTTTAGTAATAGAGTGTTCAATAATATTTGTTAATTGAGAAATGAGGGAAAGCTGCAAAGTTTTAAGAAGATAAGATTTCATTTCTAGTAATTATGGGAATAAGTCTATTAGTTAGTATTTTCATAAAGATTTTTCTTGGTATTCAATTAGAGTAATTGGTCTAGTTGTATTTAGATCATAGTTGTATTGAAGTTTTTTTGAGATTGGCTAGATATTTGAATCAGCCTATTAATTTGGTATAGTTTGGAGTATGAGACAAGTATTTATTATATCTAGAAGGTATGAGATTACTACTAGTAGTAAATGTTATAAGATTTTATTTGAAATTCCAAGTAGTCTAGTAGCTTTATTTTTTGGTGCATCAGCAATCATTTGTAGTAGGTCTTCTATTTTTATTAGAACCAGAAAGTTATCAAATATATAAGGTTGTATATGACTTAGTGATTCGTAGTATTATTCTCACTCATGCCAGAAGTCTTCATTTGTTTTATTTTCTTTTGTCTAGTTTTTGAAGTGTTGTTGAGTTGCCTCCTTGATTTTGTTAGATTTAGTTATTAATCCATCATTTAAAATAATTTTTTCATAGTTAATCTGGTCTGTGCATCTTTGCAAGATGCTATTTATCATTCTTGAAGTATTGTCTTTGAAATCAGTATATCTGTGATTAGTATGGAATTTAATTTTTCATTCTATTTATTCCTTTTTTCAGTATTGCGTGCTTGCCAAATTGTATGTTTGTATTCTTTAAGCTTAGTAATAGTATTGTTATCCCTATTATTATATTCGTCTTAGTTTATACTTTAGATAGTTAGGTTAGCTAGTGATACTACCTTTGAAGTATGTTTGTTCAATATATCTAAGGAAGTGTTTGGTTTAGTTGCTAATAGGTTTAGAGCTTTGTTGATATTTGTTAAAGCAGAGTGCAACTTTGTTGATTTTAATAAGATTGAGTGAAAGGTTTTAGGTACTGTATACATATAAAGAATATATTTGTTGATAGCTTCTTTTATCTTTTGAGACTAGATATGCCAGAGCTTGTTAAGGATAATCAGATTCAAGCAATTTTTAAGTCTAAAGAGAAGTTCATAAGAGTATCTATAGTGTTTAAGAATTCTTTCTAATCCTGTTCTTTCATTTTGTCATAATAGTATATTTTCTTTTTCTTTTTTTTTCTGTTTCTTGAGGGTGTAGTGAATCTTGTATACCAGGTTGTGTTTATTATTTTATAGTTACTATCTAAAATTTTAATTGCGTTGGATAGTGTTGGAGTACTCAGATCAAGTAAAATATTACTTGAAGTCCAAATATCATCTATTTGACTAAAGAGATCTTGTCATTGCTAAGTAGAAGCTGATATATTATGAAATTCTAATAAGCTTGAGAAGCTGGTGATTTGTAATTTTAGGAATATTATATATTTTTTTTTCTTAGTATTGGTGTTTGCATTGAAGTCTCCCATAATTAATGAGTGCCAGTTTTTAGTTTTAATTTTCTCTATTCAATTGTTTAGCTGCCTTTGTGTTCTCATAAGTAGTTCATCATAATTTGAAGGAAGATATGTTGAAACTATGCAGATATTATTATTGTTAAGGAATTAAAAGTCTATTTGAATTAGTGTTTCAGGATATGTTAAGAAGTTTCTTATATATGGTGTTAATGAGTGATGTATTATTAGAGCAGTTTCTAAACTTATTTCCTTCTGTTGTTTTTGGTATAGAATAAAGTTAAAAGTAAAGATTTTATAGATTAGATTTGTGAGAGTAAATTCATTTATGTTTTTGAGTTTAGTCTTAGTTAAAGAGATAATATGTAAATTATTTTCATTGCAGTATTGTATTCAGTTTTGTAGTTTGACTAGGTTACTTAGTTCTTGAATATTATGAGTTATGATTTTAATTTTTTCATTAATATTAGGATTGTTGTGTTAAGTTTTAGTATCGTTAAGGTTAGTAAAATTATTTGTATTATTGTTCATGGTCTGACTTGGGAGTTTTACTCATTATTGTATTATCATCGTCTGACTTGATGCTATGTATAGAGTTATCGAATATGTCCTATTCAGAAGATAGTAAGTTAGAAAGAGCAAAAATAAAGTCAGGAAGGTTATTGTAGTAGAAGTTTTTAGTAATAAACCTCATTGTTGATGATATATTCTTATGCTTTATAATCAGAAAATCTAATTTTTTCTCTGGCTATTTTTGTTAGACTGTTTGGATCAAATCTTATATATTATTTGGAGGAGTATTGGGATTGAGATTATCTCTTTTAGATATTTGTATTTAAGATTCTTGTATCTTGCAGAAGAAGTAGTATTCTCATAATACTCATAATGCTATAGTTAATTCTTTTGTTGTATTTATAGGTAAAGTTAGGTTTATTTCTGTTACTTTTTCTGCCTCTTCTAGGAGCTCAGGAAGGTCAGTATAATTGCAAGTACAGTATCTTTCTGGTAAAGGAAATAGAGTTATATAGATTTTTGGAATTTCTGTGAGAAATTTCTTTGTTTCTTCTTTTGTACTAAGTGAGAAAATATAGGTATTTGTTAGAGGTAGATTCTTTGGTTATAGAGGAAGCTTTTATCTTAGGATAAAGTAATCATTAGATAACTTGAGAAAAGCAAAATCTTGACAAAATAAATTGACATGTTCTAGTAGATCTTCTCTGTTTTTTAAAAAGAATGAAAATTTTGGTTATAGGCATGGTAGAAGATCTTGTGAAGTAAGTGGTAGTAGTAGTTTTGGTGCAAGTAAGTTAAAATAATTTGTTAGAATTTGATCAAAGATGTAAAATTCCTGTAAGGCTTTTCTGTAACCAGGCAGATTTTTTAATTCACTTTGTTTTGTAATAGGGAACAGGTCTTTAACTTGTGTGCAGAGATTTCTTGAACTAGCAGGAAGAGTAGTTCGTATATCTTTGATATAGCTTTCAGATAGCTGTTGGAAGTTAAAAACTTTTCTTAATACTCTTATAGTAGCTCCTATATCCAGAGAGTTAGTTATAGATAAGGAGAAATCAAGACATGAGGAGATATGTATAGGAATATCTAAGAGATTATCTGGGAGAAGCAGATAATTTGTAGTTAGGCATTTGTCTATTTGTGCTAATGCTTCGTAAATTTGTATGATATTAGTATTTTTATAAATCCTGCTAAGTAGAAAATTATTCTAGTAATTTCTCTTAGTGAGAGTGTGTTCAGATCTAATGATAGTAAGTAATCTATGCCTAGTTTTTGACGTAGTTTATAGAAAATTTTATCCTGATTTGTTTTGTTTGTCATTGTAATATTGTGCTGATCTTTATATCTTCCTATTGCTATATTCAAAAGAATATTGAATTCCTTTTGATGTTAGAGTTTTGTTGCAGAAGACTGAGAGAAAATGCTGAAGAATTGGTTATCTTTGTGGTATAGTTTTGTATAAATTGCAAGAGGAATTAGATATTCTGCTAGAAGAGTTCAAATTTTACATGATATTAGATCAGCTAGACTTTTTATAGATGTAAAGATTTCTAAACATCTGTTGTAGTACTATTTTTCTTTATCTAAATTCTTGTAGTTGCTCTTCCTCCAGTCTTTTAATCCAAGTTCAAGAGCATGTGTTCAAGCAAGTTTTTTGTCCTTTCTTGCATCTATTATAGCTAGTCTTTGTTCTAGTCTGCTCATTACTACTGAGCTATATGTTCTTGGAGGAGTACTGATAGATGTTGTAGCTTCTTCTAATGTTGTATTCAAAGTTGCATATATTAAATATATATTAATTTCTTCTAGAGTTTTATCAAGATCTACTGTATCACTATTAGTGCTAGTCAGAGTTTGTTTTGATGTTGAAGCTAGATAGAGGCATAGAAATTTTGAAGTTTCACTAGAGATTTGATTATCTGTTTGTTTATCTGTCATGTGGTTTGCTTGTGCTAGTGATGTCATATGCATTATTAATGGAGGTAAACTAGAATTCCCACTTTTTTCAAAAAGTATTTTTTTTTCTACAGTAAAAGTTGAAGTATCTTGAATTTTTTCATTAAGCTAGAGGAGATATCTAGTATTTTTTTTGTTTTTTTTGATCTGATATTCGTTAATATAGATGGTATTAGTAGGTATAGTAGTTTGTACTATAGTAGAACAGAGAGACCTGTCTCTAGTTTTTTCTTTGTTGTTGATGTTGCTGACATAGTTAGTAATAGTTTTTTTGAGAGAGTAGGCGAGTGAGAAATGAGCTCTCTAGTTCTTTTAATCTTTTTAGTTGTATAAGTAGAGTATATGTAACTATTCTTATTATTTAGTTAGTTATAAGTATTGCTGTATATAGAAAAAAATTTTTTGTTTTGCTCTGCTCCATATATTGGTTTTGGAATCTACGGGTAAGAGTTTATTATTTTTAAAAATTTATATATAAACCTAATAATTACTTAAATAAAATTTGTTTTATTAGAAAAGAATATATAAAACATATAGTATAGAACTGAACAATATTAGTAACAATAGTATTAAGTATATTTCTGAATAGAAAAAGCTAAGTCTAGAGACTCTATTAAGAGCTTTTATTAAAAAGGTAGTTCAAACAATATACAAGGCAGAATAGATATAGTTAAGAAAGAAAAATGATGAAAAATACTAAACAAGAATTCAAAAACAAAATTAGAAAACTTTTAAGAATATACTCAAAAGTTGTTATAAGTAATATCAAAATTCTGAAGTAAACTACTTACAATTGTTCAAAATTAAATATATTAAAAATCTTTTTTTAACTATTAAAACTTTAAATTATAAAAAGTTACAATTATATAAAAATAGTCTATACAAAAGATATGTTAAGAAAAAAGAAATAATTAGATATTTGATTACCTGTAAAAAAACATATTAAGTACTCAAAAAAATTGAAGAAGAGGTATAGAAACAGCTCTATGAAAATAAGAAAAAAGAAGAAGATTAGAACTTAATAAGTATTCATTAAGCTATCTAATACAAATAGAAAAAGAAACAATAAAAGAGAAAAGAATAGATAAGAGGTATTTTTAGTAAAAAAGATACCAAAAAGATCAAAACTATCATTAGCTCTGAAAGTATAATGACTAAATTTTAGAGTTTGTTTTGATATATTTAGATAAAGTTAGTTTATAAGGAAGTTTAGAAAAATTAATGCAAAGATATAAAAGTATAGAAGAAAAAAAAAAAGATCTCCAAAAAAAAAAAATACTCACAGAAAGAAAAAAAGAAAAATAATCTAAAAGAAAGAGCTATAAGAAAAAAAACAAACTGCAGAATAGATAAAAATACAAAAAATTATAATATTAGTCTTAAAATAGTATTAGATAGTATAATTAGAGAAGTAAAGAAGAAAATATTAACTAGTTGGTTTTAAACTTAGTCATAATAGATTGTAGCATCCTTTTTATACTAATTTGTAGTTTATAAACTATAAACTACTCAGTATAAGACAAAGGTTATTATAGCAGATTGTATATAGATATCTATAGAATAATTAAGTAAATTAAAGTTTAAAAAATTAGATATTAGATAGTATATAACTAAATAATATTGTTTTTATTTAAATGAAAAACAAAATTATAACATAACTGCTAAATTAAAAAAAAAAATTTATTTTATTAGATAAATTGTAATTTTCTGATATTCTGTTATTCAAATTATTGAGTCTTCTTTTTATATAATTTAATCTTTTATTTAGCTCAAAACTTTCTAAATAAGTTATTTTTTCATTTAGCTCAATTAGCAAATCTCTAAGTTTAGCAAAATAATATTTTAAAAAATATTATAAAAAAAATTAAATTAAAATTTATAAAAATAGATTATTATTATTATTATTATTATTTTTATTTTTTTTTTAAACAATAAGGTTTATTCTCTAACTCTTAATTTAATTTAAATAAAATAATACATATAGAAATAATATATATATAGTTAAAAGAAAAAAGTAAGGTAGAGGTAATAGCTAATTTAC